AGGAAAGATATTAGAAGATTTGTATGAATCCAGGGATTTAGGAGAGGAAGTAAGATAAACTGGAAGGTCAAGGTAAAGACCTAATAGATCTTCATGGATTGCCAAGAATTTGGTTTGTTAGCAAGAAGAAGCTATAGATATTTTAGGATTTGTCTGAATCCAAGGATTTAGTGAGAGATTAGATCAAAGGAAAGATCTAATTTGTACCACCAAGAATTCGACTTGTTAGCAAGAGGAAGAAAAATAAGAAGCCGTAAGATATGTCTTGTTTTCGATTCCAGGTCCACCAGCTCCACCTCAAGACATTCGAATTCAGGCTGGTCCAGCACCAGGAACTATCTTGGTTTGTTGGGGGCCACCAGTTCTCACCGCAGCGGGGACCTCCAACGGAGCCAATGTGACTGGCTATGGTATTTATGCAAAAAATCAAAGGGTAGGTCGGTACTTAGAGAAACCTGACATAGTTAGATTTTTAAAAATAATCTAAGAATAGTAGCCAAATTAGCTAAACGTGCAGATGCTGAGCATCATCTTAAAAAGAGACATTTATTCTGCTGTGAGCTAGAAAATGGAATTTATTGTCCAATTGTGGCACAAACAGACAGTTTTGGAAAGCAAGGGAACCTTTTGCTTAATTAATTGATTAAGCAATTCTTTACTTAATCAATCCATTGATTCCTAGCTTTTCTTGGACTAAGGAGCCTCAACTAAAAGCTCTTGTTTATTTTTTATTTTTGATGTGCCAATTTTATTTCGTTGTGCAATGAAGCTACCTTTCTTAATTCTGCATAACTCTCATTCTCTTGCTTCGGGCGAGCTGGGTGGGCCTTGTCAAAACGTGATGCCCAGAATTGGATCCAGAACTTGGTGGGGTCAGATCTTGGCCAAAGAGGGTGGAAATTGCATTTCTACGGTGTGAACTGAAATTGCACATTTATTTTGCCTGGTATATCACTCTGCTGACTCCTATTCAGCTGGCAATATCAAGAGTGGTTCTCATTAGTGTTCCTAATGTGAGGGGTCCTTGGTCTCTCTGAGTTTGGTTGTTTTCTTGCAGATGTTTGATTACCCAGTGATGATGTTACCTAGTTGGGTAATGAAACATCTGCAAGAAAACCACCAAGCTCAGAGAGCACCTCCTCTTCCTGTCCACACCCCACTCACTTCTAGCACTGATGATATTACCTAGTTGGGTAATGAAATGTCCTCCTCGTCGTCCTCCTCCTCCTCCTCCTCCTCCTCCTCCTCCTCCTCTCCACATCCCACTCTCTTCTAACACTGATGATATTACCTAGTTGGGTAATGAAATGTCCTTCTCCTCCTCCTCCTCCTCCTCCTCCTCCTCCTCCTCCTCCTCGTCCTCCTCCTCTCCACATCCCACTCTCTTCTAGCACTGATGATATTACCTAGTTGGGTAATGAAATGTCCTTCTCCTCCTCCTCCTCCTCCTCTTCTTCTTCCTCCCCCTCCTTGCAAGCCTCATTCCCTTCCAGCACTGATGATGTTACCTACTTGGGTAATGAAACGTCTCCAAGAAAACCACCAAGCTCAGAGAGCACCCAGGACCCCTCATTTCGACTCTACAAATATTCTCCTTTATTGCTCCTAACGTATTTGCCTCTGTCTCTGCATTTAGGTGGCTGAAGTGATGTTTCCAACTGCAGAGAACACCCCAGTGGCGCTAACCAAAATCCAGAGCCTGGATGCCAGAGAGGTCCTTGTGCGGACACTGTCTGCCCAAGGGGAGTCCATGGACTCGCTGAGCGCTCCCATCCCACCGGACTTACTGGTGCCTCCTCACCCTCAGCCAGCTCCCAAAACCAAGCCATTATCAAGTGCCAGTATCCAAGATACCAAAGAGGAACACTTGTGTCCGCACGGAAAAAGGGACGACTCCTGGGAACAGACCCACGCGGCCTCTCCCATCCACGGACACTCCCTGGAACCTCCCAACTTCCACAGCCCGCTTCACGGGCAGCGGTCACCCTCTCCCAATCGGATCCTTCCACAGCCGCAGGGGGCACCTGTCCCTAACACAGTCGCCAAGGCCATGGCCCGAGAAGCCGCGCAGCGGGTGGCAGCCGAAAGCAACAGGGTGAGCACAGTTGCGGCTTCAGACCCCCGGGGGTGGGTTTCGTTCACTGGAGGGTCAGTTTTCCTCCACTGCAGGCCAGGATTTTTTTTTTGGGGAGGGGGAAAAAAGATTTTGTAGGAATGGGAAGTGTTAGCAAGCTAGAAACATAGAAGGAATGTGTGCTAATTGGGGGCAATGTTGAAGTCCTCGATTCTCAGAACGCTTTATCAAAACTGCTATGGCAGGGGTAGGCAACCTCGGCTCTTTTATGACTCATGGACTTCAACTCCCAGAATTCCTGAGTCAGCATAGCTGGAATTCTGGGAGTTGACGTCCAGGAGTCATAAAAGAGCCGAGGTTGCCTACTCCGATACATACATGCATTCATACACACATACATACATTAATAACCGTGTGCCTAACTTAACCACTGCTGTGATTCACGTAGCAAGAGTGACAAGAACGGTTGTCAAGTGGGGCAAATTTAACAGCTGTTTTCCCTTAGCAACAGAGATTTTGGGCTCAGGTGTGTTTGCACATCGAGGGTGTATCTATACAAAGGTAGGGAATTAACTGAAACCTTGCTCATTATGAATATTCATGTTTACGTCATCTATCACTTATGCATATGCATGGCTTCTTAAGGCCACCCCAGAGGTACAAAACATGAAGAGCAATAGCAATAGACGTATAGACTGAGAATTGAACTGCTGGCAGTCGGCAGAGTTAGCCTGCAATACTGCATTCTAACCACTGGGGAAGGAAAATAAGGGAGGGAGGAAGGAAGGAAGGAAGAAAAGGAAGGAAGGAAGGAAGGAAGGAAGGAAGGAAGGAAGGAAGGAAGGAAGGAAGGAAGAGCAATAGCAATAGCACTTAAACATATAGACAGAGAATTGAACTGCTGGCAGTCGACAGAGTTAGCTTGCAATACTGCATTCTAACCACTGGGGGGGAAGGAAGGAAGGAAGGAAGGAAGGAAGGAAGGAAGGAAGGAAGGAAGGAAGGAAGGAAGGAAGGAAGAGCAATAGCAACAGCACTTAGACCTATATACCACTTCACAGTGCTTTACAGCAGGGGTCCCCAACCCCCGGTCCATGGACCGGTACCGGGCCTCAGCTTGCCAGCAGCCAGTCTGCACAAACAAGGAAAGCCCCATCCGCAGGATGCAGGCAGCATACAAAAACACGCCCCCTCCGGTCCATGGAAAAACCTCTCTCCACGGAACCGGTCCCTGGTGCCCAAAAGGTTGGGGACCTCTGCTCTACAGCCCTCTCTAAGCGGTTTACAGAGTGAGCCTCTTGCCCCCCAAAATCTGGGTCCTCATTTTACCGGCCTCAGAAGGATGGAAGGCTGAATCAACCTTGAGCCGGTGAGAATCGAACTGCCGAACTGCCGAATCCAAATGTTTTATCATCACGTCCTCATTTGACCCTCAACTTCTCTTTAGAAAGCTACAGGTGCCACCTGTATCCCCTTTGCACCCTAGAGAGAATCATTTTTTCTTATTCCATTTTCTCTTCTGGAACCCCATAGATGGAGAGGAGGGCCGCCTTTCCAGAAAGAAGCAACGCGTTGCAGTACGCCAACTCTGATGAGGAAGAAGATGGGTACGACTCGCCCAGGGTCAAACGAAAAGGTGCTTCGGTGGATGAATTTTTGAAGGGCTCCGAACTTGGGAAACAGGTAATGGGCATCTCCTTGGCAATGGGACAAGAGCAAAACCATAGTTCATGTTTTGTGGGTTCACCATATTTTTCCTCTTTAATCTTTTTTCAAGAAAGAGGGACAAAGTTTAGCAGAGGGTGTGCCCCACTACCTGATGCCTACAAATCTAGATCATGAGTGTCTTCCAACATCCATAGTGTCTCCATGGAAGTGGGTAATGGTGATGATATCCCTCGCTATCTACTACCGTTTAGAAGCCCCATTCTTGAAAGTCTTACAAAAATCTCCAGAGATTGATCTGGAATTAGAATCTGATAAATCCCCCTGGACGTTTGGGATCATTTGTTTGGAAGTCTACTTGACCAAGTCATCAAGAACCAAACAAGAAGATCATCAATCTTTCACACTTTGACTGGGTCATGCTTGTGGTTCTAGTGGTGGAGTTGAATCTGTGGGGAACTCCCTCACCAACCGTAGGGTTTGTTGGGCTCAATTTTTGTTTTGAAAGCCTATGTGTAGGCTATCAAAGAGAAGGACCAGAGGGACATGATAGCTGACTTCCATTACTTGAGAGAAGAGGGGATTGACTTATTCTCCAAAACACCAGAGAGCAGGACAAGAAGCAATGGGTGGAAACTCCTCAGAGGGAGCTCCAACCTGGAAATAAGGAGGAATTTCCTGACAGCGAGAATGATTGATCAATGGAATAACGTAGCCTCCAGAAGTTGTGGGTGCTCCATCACTGGAGGCTCTCAAGAAGAGACCGGACAATCACTTGACCACTCTATCGCTAATCAACTTGCCATAGAAAAGGAGGGAGGGGTAGAAAACAAAGGGAGGAAATGGAATGCCAAGAAGCCATTCACAAACAGTGAGAGCCTGCACCACGCCAAGGTCTTTGGCGCAAGTGCTGGACGGAGGAGTGAACTGTTCCCCTAACAAAACGGAGTATTACTATTGGACAGTGTGACCACTCGGTGGCTGGAGGCTTGGGAATCCATTGTTTAGCTAAGCAAGCTTCTGCACAGGAAAACTCAGAGCTGGTTTTGCTTCTTTAGTTCTGAAATGCTGTATCCAACACAGTGCTGGGCTGCATTAACAGAGGGATAGAATCAAGATCACGTGAAGTGTTAATACCACTTTACAAGGCCTTGGTAAGTCCACACTTGGAATACTGCCTCCAGTTTTGGTCACCACGATGTAAAAAAGATGTTGAGACTCTAGAAAGAGTACAGAGAAGAGCAACAAAGATGATTAGAGGACTGGAGGCTAAAGCATATAAGGAACGGCTGCTGGAATTGGGTATGTCTAGTTTAATGTAGAGAAGGACGAGGGGGGACATGATAGCAGCATTCCAGTATCTCAGGGGCTGCCCCAAAGAAGAGGGAGTCAAGCTATTTTCCAAAGCGCCTGAAGCCAGGACAAGAAGCAACGGATGGAAATTAACCAAAGAGAGAAGCAACCTGGAACTAAGGAGAAACTTCCTGACAGTTAGAACAATTAACCAGTGGAACAACCTGCCTCCAGAAGTGGTGAATGCTCCAACACTGGAAGTTTTTAACAAGAGACTGGACAGCCATTTGTCTGAAATGGTATAGGGTTTCCTGCCTGAGCAGGGGGTTGGACTCGATGATCTCCAAGGTCCCTTCCAACTTTATTATAATGATTATTATTATTATTTTGCCTGCTGGGACTTAAATTGTCTTGAGGAATCCTTCTGTTGGGGTCCGCTAGTCGGACTTTTGACAATGAGGTCTGGTGCCTTGAGCAGAGGATTCTGATTCTGTGTTCCATGTTCCCTTTCCCCCTCCCTCTCTCACAGCCCCACTATTGCCACGGGGAGGAATATCACACGGAAAGCAGCCGAGGCTCTGATTTGTCTGACATTATGGAAGAAGATGAGGAAGACTTATATTCAGAGATGCAGCTGGAAGATGGTGGCGGGCGGAGACGTGTTAGCGTAACCTCACATAACACCCTGAAGGTAAAAAGAAACAAGGACCCAAAGGTGCTTTTTTCTTCTTCTTTTTTAAGAGGCCATTGGACTTTCTTTGTTTTTCCTTAAAAACATCTTGCTTCTCATCCAAGAAGCTTCTTCAGTTCTGGGAGAGAGAAAGGAAGGAAGGAACTGTTGTAGGAATGGAGTGGTAAATTGGGGTTATCAAAGGATCTAGATAAGATAATAATAATAATAATAATAATAATAATAATAATAATAATAATAATAATAATAATAGTAGTAGTAGTAGTAGTAGTAGTAGTAGTAGTAGTAATAATACCACCAATAGTAATAGGTGCCTTGGGTGCAATCCCAAAACAACTGGAGCACCACTTGAACACCATTGGCATTGACAAATTCTCCATTAGTCAATTGCAAAAGACGGCCTTACTAGGAACTGCTTCCATCCTGCAACGAGATCTGTAATACCATCAAACATCCACCTCTGCCCATCCCAGGTCCTTGGGAAGGACTCAATAGGCAGACAAAAATGCCAAATCCAGTCTGAACATCTGGCTGACTGTGCGATGATCCATAATAATAATAATAATAATGTTGGAAGGGCCATTGGAGGTCATCTAGTCCAGCCCCCTGCTCAGGTAGGAAACCCTATACCATTTCGGACAAATGGCCGTCCAGTCTCTTCTTAAAAACCTCCAGTGTTGGAGCATTCACCGCTTCTGGAGGCGGGTTGTTCCACTGGTTAATTGTTCTAACTGTCAGGAAGTTTCTCCTTAGTTCTAGGTTGCTTCTCTCCTTGATCAGTTTCCATCCGTTGCTTCTCGTCCTGCCTTCAGGCGCCTTGGAGAATAGCTTGACTCCCTCTTCTTTGGGGTAGCCCCTGAGATATTGGAAGACTGCTATCATGTCCCCCTTTGTCCTTCTCTTTGTTAAACTAGACATACCCAATTCCAGCAACCATTCCTTGTATGTTTTAGCCTCCAGTCCCCTAATCATCTTTGTTGCTCTTCTCTGTACTCTTTCTAGGGTCTCAACATCTTTTTTACATCGTGGTGACCAAAACTGGATGCAGTATTCCAAGTGTGGCCTTACCAAGGCATTGTAAAGTGGTATTAACACTTCACGTGATCTTGATTCTATCCCTCTGTTAATGCAGTTTTAGCACTGTGTTGGCCTTTTTGGCAGCTGCAGCACACGGCTGGCTCCTATTTAAGGGATTGTCCACTAGGACTCCGAGGTCCCTCTCACAGTTGCTACTATTGAGCAAGGTACCCCCTATACTATACCTGTGCATTTGGTTTTTCTTGCCTAAATGTAGAACCTTGCTTTTTTCACCATTGAATTTCATTTTGTTAGATAGTGCCCCGTGTTCAAGTCTTTGCGTTTTGGAGTCTTCAAGAGGGTGAAAATTCACATGGCGTCTCTAGCCTTGTATTTTGCCAATGCTTCCTAGACTGTTGACCTCTTCTTTAAACATCGACGAACTTTCCTGTGGAATTTAGATGTTTTGTGCCTTTTAGTACAGGGGTCCCCAACCCCCCGTCCATGGACCAGTACCGGGCCGCGGCATGCCAGCAACCGGTCCGTACAAACAAGCAAAGCCCCATCCATGGGATGCAGGCAGCACATAAAACCACGCACTCTCACAGCCCCTAAAGAAAAAAAACACCTCTTGCTCTTTTAATAAATAGTGAAGAGATTTTGTACTGAACAAATACAGGGTACTAACATTCGGAGAGAGAAGTAGTAGCGGGTTTTGAGACATGATTTTCTATGTAGGGTCAACTACTCATGTTCTGTATGCCTGGCCAAGTTCTTCTCTTGACTGTAGTAAAAGATGCTTGCTAAACTTGACATCTCGCCCAATAGACATGCTAGGACAGCTGTTCTAATCATCTGTTTTATTTTCACAGATTCCCATTCAAAGCATGACATAGTTCTTCACCTGAATAAGAGCCGCATGCTTTCAGCTCACCATTGCTCTACAACTAATTCTGTCTTTATTTTTTTTCCTTCTTTCCTTTCCTTTCCTTTCCTTCCCTTCCCTTCCCTTCCCTTCCCTTCCCTTCCCTTTCCTTCCCTTCCCTTCCCTTTCCTTCCCTTCCCTTCCCTTTCCTTTCCTTTCCTTCCCTTCCCTTTCCTTCCCTTCATCTCCCTTCTCCATTCATTCCTTTCCTTCCCTTCCCTCTCTCTTTTTAAAAATTGCACACTGTTTGTTCTCCTTGACTTTTCTTTCTTTCTTTCTTTCTTTCTTTCTTTCTTTCTTTCTTTCTTTCTTTCTTTCCTTCCTTCCTTCCTTCCTTCCTTCCTTCCTTCCTTCTCTCTCTCTCTCTCTCTCTCTCTCTCTCTCTCTCTCTCTCTCTCTCTCTCTCTCTCTCTCTCTCTTTCTTTCTTTCTTTCTTTCTTGGTGACTCTTAAAGGAATGCTATCAGCATAAAGCCACTGAAACAGCTTTCCCGGACCCTCCCAATTTTGCCCGCCAACGTAAAAAACTGTTCAGTATCCCGGAAGTCGCTGAAGAGGACGGCGATCCCTCCGAACGTTTCCACAAGCGGGGCTCACGGCGGCCCCACCAGACACGAAGCACCCTCGCTAGAGAGGGTAGATCCATCAAGGCCTACCCTCCAGACCATCCTCCCTTCTGGCACCCCACCAAGTCACAGAGTATGGAGGACCCCGAAGAACGAGGCTGTAGATCCAGCAGGTCTTCCATCCGAAGTCCAGACAGTGGCTTGGACTGTGGCAGCGAAGAAGAAGAATCACGTTTTAATGTTCTCCCCGTGCAGGAGACCCTCGCTGCCCCTATGTCCCCCGCCAGTTGTCGGGATGATGACAGCTCTTCTTTATCCTCACGGCCGCTCTTGGCCCGTCGGAAGACCCTGGTGCGGCAGAGCAGCGTTGAAGAAGACTTTGGAGACCCCATCCAGCTCTTTGTGGACTCTCCGAAGCAGGAGGACTTTCCAGCTTGTTACAAGAGGAAGCCCGAACATCAGAGATGTTGTAGAGCAGAACACTTGGCCCACGAAGATGCTCAAGGAGACTGGAGTAGTAGCCCCTTGGTAGAGAACGAAGCGAGACTAACTCCTCTTCCGTTTTCAAAGCAGCCCAACCAAAAGTCTGAAGCCCCACCGGTGTGTTGCAGTCCGAACTTCCTTCTAACATCTTGCCTGCCAAATCACTTCCTTTATTTTAAAACAAAAAAATCTTCATTTCTCTCTTTCCGTTTTGAGTTCTTCTCTCCCATGTGCACGTGACTCCTCGCTCTTTTTTTCCCCCCTTCCCATTCTTTCTTCTCCACTTCCCAACGATTAGCTTTCCATCTTAATCTGCATTGCTTCATCAGCTTCCTAAAACTTCCCCTGGTTTTCTTTTTTTTCCTTTTTTTGTGCCTTGCTAAAATAAATAAAGATTAAAATGAGATTAACTTGCTTGTTGGTCCGTTATGATTTCATTGCTCCCCACAGGCCACGAATAAATATCTAAATAAATAAATAAAATTTAAAACACCTGCCTTTCCCCCCGTTTCTTTCTTTAAAAGGACAACTGAAACGATGTTTTAATTAAGGGTTAGCTGAACTGCCATTGTCCTGACATTTTGGGATTGTTCTTTAATTTTATTTCTCTCGTTTCCCCTTCTTTATATTTGTGCTCTGATCTTGCTTCGTAGAATAGAACCATGTATGTATAATTTGGTGCATACCGTCCGCAACGACAACAAAACACACACAGCCAAACAATGAATGTATTTCCGTTCCCTTCCCTTCTCCCTTTCAAATGTCTGCTTTGAATATCTTTTTATTTTTAGTTTGGTTTTATTTTTAACCTCATTCCAGATTTTCAAGGATGAACTTTCTCGCCAATCCTTGGGGTTGCTCCAGCGTCTATGGCGGACCATACGCTTCTTTAAATTCCCGCTTTATTTTTTCCACTCCTGCTTGTTTCTTTTCTTTTCTTTTTTTCTTTTCCTTTCTGTTGAACAAAATCAGAAATCGTCTCTTGTTGCCTTTGAAGTTGCAAACTCTTAACTCTCTCAGCAGGCAGGAAGACCACCGCCCACTGCCCAGGTTTAAGCCTCTTTTTTCAGGCGACGGAAAGACTCGGACCGTTGAGACCTAGAGGGACGTTGTGTCTTGCTTAAGGAAGCTGATTCTCTCCGATTTATCCAGATCGTGGTTTGCTCCCGGTGTAGCAAACTTAGACTAGATGCTCCAATTATTCCGCTCTGCAATGATAAGGAGATCCGGCGGTCCATTGTTGCGAATCCAGGTCCTTCTCAGATTTCTTCTTCTTTTCAAAATTGTCCATCGACCAAACTGAGGCTCAGCTCTTTTCATTTTCCCCCACCGATCGTTGGTCCTTGCAAATGCCCTTCTCCTGAAAGCCCTTGAGAGAATTTGGAAAAGGCTCTTTACCAATTTAAAAAAAAAACCAAGTTGGGAAGGCGGCAGGGAAGTAAACAGATAGAGGCAAGACGTTGTAGGCAAAGGATGGCAAATATTCTGCAAGTAGGACAGGCTAAAGTACTCCGGAAAAGCCGATACACCTACCAGCTCATCCGGTTTTCCTAGTTCCGAGGAACGGCCACATTCTCAACAAAGAGGAGGTCCAAAAGACGCAACCACAAAGGCAAAAGAAAACTTTTAATTCTCCTTTTTTTTTTTGGTTTGAACGTGTGACTGTTGTCTGCCAAATACGTGCCATGTCCGGATGCCAAATTTTTTTCCGTCTCTCCGTCTTTCTTTCTTTCTTTCTTTCTTTCTTTCTTTCTTTCTTTCTTTCTTTCTTTCTTTCTTTCTTTCTTTCTTTCTTTCTTTCTTCTTTCTCTCTCTCTCTCTCTCTCTCTCTCTCTCTCTCTCTCTCTCTCTCTCCCCCTTCCCCCTCTCTCTCTTTCTTTCTTTCTCTCTCTCTCTCTCTCTCTCTGTGATTTTTTTTCCCTCAGGTTTAATGGCATCTGTCTCCCCCACCCCCTTTTTTTTCCTCCCTTTTTCTTTTTCAGCTAACCTTTCAGTTAAAAAAGAAAAGTTTAGTTGCCTTTAGAATGCACGTTTTCGGAGAACGGTTTATTTGATATTTTTCCGTGCAATTGTGTACTCTCCCTTGTTGCCTCTCGCACCTTCTACGGGGCAGTTGTGTAGCTTTTAAACAATCTTTCTCTTCTCCCCTCCCCTCCCCCCTCCCTCCTCTTTTATTTCCTGTTGGTTTGGACCTTCAGCTCTTAAGTAACCCGATGTCGTCCAGGCGACCAGACCGAGGAGAGCATCCAGGTCAAAGGTTATCTCGTGACACTTCAGGTCCTCGAAGGTCGCGTCCCAGTCTGGTCCCTTCTATGGGTGAGTTGGCGAAGATCCATTGGCCTGGTTGGTTGAGGGGTTACCAATTTCAGAAGAGAAGGTTCATTCTGAATCACCTGCTTTGAGGCAATGGAGGGGAACATTCAAAAGGAACAAACAAGCCATAGGCACATAGACATTGACAACATCTATAGACTATGCCAAAAAGACAATCGACTAGCCCAGAGGTCTTCAAACCTGGCCCTTTTATGACTTGTGGACTTCAACTCCCAGAATTCCTCAGCCAGCCTGAGCAAATTGGAGGTAGACAAGGGTCAATTGAATTCAAGGTGGGCTGGATTTAGATCTCTTAGGGGCACGAAGGGATTCGAGACACATTTGACCCCTACCTAGGGCTCAGCCTGGTCATCTCCTACATGAGAACTGTTTCTATCTGCACTTCCATGTTGGTCAAAAGAGAGGAGCACTCTTGTGAATTGGTTTCAGGAGAGATTGGAATAAGATCACCCCTTCTCCTCATCCAAGGTTGCATTAAGGTGCTCCTTCAGCTTGTGGAGAAGAGCAGACAAAGTTGGCGGGCAGAGTTAAACTTGTCATCAGCTTAGAGTTGTTGTGTTCCCACAAACTCTCCAAGACCAACCCTTTCAAAATTCCGTTGACCCTTACCTGGCGCCAATTTGGTCTCGAACGTTAGTTGGCCTTATTAATGTCAGTCACAAAGAATCAGGACCACCAGTTAAGTTGCAGCATAGTTGAAGTTTTGAAGCCTGTCAACAAGAATCTGGTCAACCCACATTTTAGTAAGTGATGATTGCAAGGAAGGAAGGCAAGCTGAAAAAAATGGCTGTGACCAATTGTCATAGTTTTATTAACACGGGACTTGACAAATGGTTAGCACGCACAATATGAGCAAGTACATCGAGTTTGTTCACCCTTGCTTACGTCAAGGGTCAGCTGACACTTCTCCTTTGTGCAAAGTCACATAATTAGAAATGACTTTAAATAGTTCAAACTTCACACCTTTTTTTGCGGGTGATTTAAATATCCGCCTTATTTTTAACACTTCCGTAGAAGGAGAATCCAGCATGGAATATGGCTGGTGCTGATGAGGGACAATTTTATTCACTTCTCGTTAAAAGAAATGACCAAATAGGTCTGAATACAGGATGAATTGATGTGAGGTTTAAAGGAAAACAAGAGACATATAGGTGGTCCTTGACTTAACGACAATTGGGATTGAAAAATTGGTCATTAAGCAGTGTGGAGGTTAATTAGGCTTCATAGGACTACCCCTGATTTTATGACCTTTTTGGCCACTGCCATTAAGGGGATCGCCTTGGTTGTTAAGCAAGACAGCACGTGATTGCAACTTGCTTCTTTTCCTGCAGGCTTCCCCGTTGACTCTGCTTGTTGGAAGCAACTGGGAAGGTCTCAAATGGCGATCACGTGACCCCAGGAGACTGCAACCATTGTAAATATGAGCTGGTTGCCAAGTGCCTGGATTGTGATCATGTGACAGTGGGGACCGCTGTGACGGTCTTAAGTTCCTTTTTTCAGTGCCATCATAAATTTAAACAATCCCTCCTTCCCTTCCTTCCTTTTCATTGCCCTCCCTCCCTCCCTCCCTCCTTTCCTTCCTTCCTTCCTTCTCATTCCCCCTTTCCTCCCTCACCTACATCCATCCATTCCCAACTCCTTCCTTCCTTCCTTCCTCCCTCCCTCCCCTGCATCCATCCATTCCCAACTCCNCCTCCCTCCCTCCTTTCCTTCCTCCCTTCCTTCCTTCCTTCCTTCCTTCCTTCCTTCCTTCCTTCCTTCCTTCCTTCCTTCCTTCCTTCCTTCTGGAAATGTATGATTGGAGCAGTGGTGTGGCCAGGACATCCAATCACTTGGAACTGACCCATTAGCAGGTTGGGTGATGCTGTTTTGTTTCAGCTTCAACCAAGGAACAAGCTAGGATCAAAATCCACATGCAAGTCTGCAGTGTCATCTAGTGGCAGACCCCAGCATTTATTGTGACACTAGTTTAAGGGGGAAGAAAGCACAACCTCTCTTTAAACCAGGATTTGCCTTGTAAGATAAGCAACCAACTGTTTTTCGCTTCAAACCCTAAGCCTGCATCTCTAAGTGACTTTTCTTGGGTGTAAGTCTCATAAAGGGGCTTTGGGGCATTGTAGACCAGGTGGCAGGAGATTTTGCGATATCTGTGTTTGTGTGTGTGTGTGTGTGTGTGTGTGTGTGTGTGTGTGTGTGTGTGTGTAGATATACAGTATCTAGAAAATGGAAGAACAATCAAAGCCCTTTCTGAAGAGGATCGAATACCTGGCCTCTAAACCAGTGTTCGTCAACTTTACTAAGATGTTTGGACTTCAACTCCCAGAATTCCCCAGGGATTCCCCGGCTTCTCTAGAGAATAGACACTATGGTTGCCGGCACTCAGTGGATTGGTTTATCCAATGTTCTAAAATCCATGTTTTTTCAACCACGACATCCTTAAGAAGCGTGGTCTTCAACTCCCAGAATTCCCCAACCAGTATGGCTGCTGTCTGGGGGGGATTCTGGGAGTTGAAGTCCACACATCTTTAGGGTGGAGCAACATTGTTCTAAACGTCTCTTCATCAATGCACGCCAGTTGGCAAGGGCCTACATTTTGATCGCACGGATGTGCAGATGTTACCACAATAGTAAGTCTGAGGCGAAGGGATAGAATTAGAATGGTGGGCATATCTTCAGTTACAGTCAAGATATTGGAAAGACAAAAAAGAGTTGGGTATAAAAATAGAGTCAACAGGGCTGGACAAAATACTATTAGGAACTGAGGACAAAATGATTAAAAAACTATATCATTATCTGTTAGATCAGGCAATGTATGAGGAACAGGTGAAAGAAACCATGTTAACATGGAGCAGGGATCTTGGTCTTAATTTTGATCTGCACATCTGGCAAGAACTATGGGTAAGAAATAGGAAGCTTACCTTGGCCACCTCCTACAAAGAAAATCTCTACAAAATGTTCTATAGATGGCATCTCCCACCCACAAGGTTAGCCAAAATGGGTCCAAATTACTCATCTACATGCTGGAAATGCAAATTGGCAACAGGGACCTATTACCATATGTGGTGGGAGTGCTCAAAAGCTTGTGACTTCTGGAATAAGATAAAAAAAATGGCTGGAAGAAATATTAAAGATAGAGATAGAGCTAAAACCAGAACTTTTCCTATTAGGCATAACTACACGGAAATACGAGAAAGCGACATTTTATCTGATGTTACATATTCTCACTGCTGCTAGATTGACGTACGCACAAAATTGGAGGAATAAAGAAACTCCATCAGAAGACGAGATTCTATACAAAATATTATCGTGTGCCGATATGGACAGGTTCACGATGGAAATGAAGGACAAGACTGAGTTAGATTATTTTGAAATCTGGGACAAATTCTATTACTGGTGTGAATCAAAGAGGACTGTCCGGGTTATAATCTAGTGTTAAGATAGAAATATATATAATTGTATGTTAGTAACTAGAGAAATGAATTAGATATTGTATAAAAAAGTATGTACAGTATGTATATATAGAGATAAAGAATTATATGTAAGAAGAGGATCAAATTGTCAGAAATACTTATACTGGAATGTTACGTTATGTCCACTTTTTTTTTTTAAACTGTATTATAAATAAAAAACTTTTTTTAAAAAAAATAGTAAGTCTGAGGACCTAACTCCAAATCACTAAACATACGGTTGTTAAGTTGAGGATCACTCAGAATGACTCTGACCTCCGTATAACCAATTTTCCGATCCCAACATTCCTGCTTTTCCAGATGGGTACGGTACTCACGACCGTCTGTCGCCGGAGATTTACGAAGAATCGGAAACTGATCCCGGAGCAGAAGAGATGGCCCCGCGCATCTTTGTCGCCCTCTTTGATTACGATCCACTGACCATGTCTCCAAACCCCGATGCGACAGAAGAACTGCCGTTTAAAGAAGGACAGATTATCAAGGTAGGGTTGACGAAATATAAAGGTAGTCCGTTGGTAGACCAACGTTCGTTTAGCGACGTTTGAACTAACGACGGCACTGAAAACAGTGATCGCTTTTCACACTTTATGACGGTTGCGGCCTCCTCACGGTCACGTGATCCAAATTCAGATCCTTCGGCAACTGACTCCTATTTATGATGGTCGCAGCGTCCCAGGGGTCACGTGGTCTCACCTTTTGCGAACTTCTGACAATGGGGAAGTCGGATTCACTTCACAACCGCGTCACTCGTTTAACAACTGGAGCGATTCACTTAAAACAGCCGTGGTGAGAAAAGTCGTAAAATGAGGCAAAACTCACTTAACGACCGTCCTGCTTAGCCATGGAAATTTTGGGTGCCATTTTGGTGGCTAGGTTGAGGGCTACCTGTGCACGATGGATGGGAGCTAAATCACGGTTATCCTTTGCAAGTTCTAACCGGTGATCCTTGGATTCTTTTCCGTGTCGTCTCTTTTCTCCATCTCAGGTTTACGGAGACAAAGATGCTGATGGGTTTTATCGGGGGGAAACGTGTGCGAGGCTGGGCCTTATCCCTTGCAACATGGTTTCCGAAATCCAAGCGGATGACGCAGAAATGATGGACCATCTTCTGAGGCAAGGCTTTCTCCCTCTGAACACCCCTATCGAGAAACTTGGTAAGTGTGGACCGCCACCTGTGGACATGTATGGGACTCGTGGCTGGATTGCGTTCATTTTGGAAGCTTTTGGAAGGTTCTCCATGTTTTCGGATCTGGCCTCCTCTAAGTTGCGTTCCCACAACATGTTTAACTAGGAGAGTTCGTTTTGAATGCAGTTAGAACCTAGAGCAGTGGCTTGCTCAGTAATGCCAGGTCAACAATAAAGCAATAAACAGTATCCATACTGAGGGACTACTTAGAAGGAAGCAACACTCCCACCGACACTGACCGAGTGAACCACTTGCATATAAATGGAGAGTAGAGCCCTCTCCCTCCTAGCACTGATGAAGTTGCCTAGTTGGGTCATGAAATGTCTGCAAGGAAACCACCAAGCTCAGAGAGCACCAAGGACCCCACAGTCCTCCTCCTCCTTTCCTTTCCTTCCTTCTCATTCCTATCCCTCCTTCCCTTCCTTTCCTTCCTTCTTTCCTTCCCTCCTTCTCATTCCCCTCTCTTCCCCTTCCTTCCTTCTTTTCTCCTTCCATCCTTCCCTCCCCCTCCTTCCTTTCTTCCTTCCCTTTTCCTTCCTTCCTTTCTTCCTTCTTTCCTTCTCATTCCCATCCCTCCTTTCCTTCCTTTCTTCCTTCTCATTCCTATCCCTCCATCCCTTCCTTTCCTTCCTTCTTTCCCTCCTTTCATTCCTTCTTTTCTTCCCTCCTTCCTTCCTTCTTCTCATTCCCCTCTGCCCCTCCCTCCCTTCTTTTCTCCTTCCATCTTTCCCTCCCTCCTTCCTTTCTTCCTTCCCTTTATCTTCCTTCCTTCCTTCCTTCCTTCCTTCCTTCCTTCCTTCCTTCCTTCCTTCCTTCCTTCCTTCCTTCCTTCCTTCCTTCCCTCCTCCACTTCCTCCTCCTCCATTCCACAAACCCCACTCCCTTCTAGCACTGATGATGTTCCCCATTTGGGTCATGAAACGTCAGCATGAAAACAACCAAACCCAAACCACCAAGGGCTTTACAATGAATGGCTTGTTGTATGCTTAAAAACAGTTGCAATTGCTTTCTCTCTTTGGGTTGGAACAGAAAGAAACAGAAGAAGCAGCCGTCCGCCTGGGTCAGCCACAAGAAGAATGGTTGCGTTATATGACTACGATCCAAGAGAAAGCTCTCCTAATGTTGACGTGGAGGTATTGTGGTCATGGACACAAATCCAAAACATTTTGTTTTGTAATTAAAAACCGCGGGAAATGTGGCCCCAGCATCCAATTAGGGGACAAAATGGCTCGGTTGAAAAGTATGGCAGGAGTTTCTGTCTGCCCAGAAACTTCTCCTGGACCTCTGTCCACTTAGAACATAGAATCATGCAGCTGGAAGGGACCTCAAAGGTCTTCTAGTCCATCTCCCCGCTCAAGGTAGGAGACCTTTTGCCATCCCAGTCAAATGTCCCAAAGGGGCTTTTTTCCAGGAGGCCACTGGACTTTCTTGTTTTTCTTTGAAGACGTTTCGCTTCTCATCCCAGAAGCTTCTTCAGCTCGGACTGGATGGTGGGGAATGGAAGGATTTATACTCCTTGCAGACAGCTGGTCACTTGCCTTCTTTTAGAGAGTCCTTGAGGCCACTTGGAGGTTTACCTGTCTCTTCAGGATCACCTGAGTGGTGCAGATGGGTGTGGAGCCTTTTTGGAACTGCTGAAAGGACGGTGTTGTGGAAGCTATGCTTTCTGTGGGATGTTATCTGCCCCGTGTCTCTTCATTGTTGAAGACGGGCCAGGCTGTTGGGGATGAGTCTGTGTTGTCTGCATCTCAAACTTGAAGCGCAGATGGTCCCTGTGGTCTTCATTTTTTTTTTCTTCTGCAAATCCATTCATGCTCCCGCACCGTCCGAAGAGCGTTCATCCCAAAGTGCATAGCTAAATGTCCATGGAGGTTCTCAGTCATCCAGGTCACGGTTGTCCCAAAGGTGCTTTTTCTTTATTTTTCTTTGAAGGTGAAAAACCAAAAATAAGGGAGTCCAGTTGCCTCTTGAAAAAGCATCTTTAGGATGACCATGACCTGGATCAGGGCTTTTCAACCTTTTCACCCATTGTGCCACTTTTAGGATATGGCAACATCCGAGTACCACCAGTCGCCTAGCAAGGTGTCAAAAACTTAATGACCAAAAACAAAAAAAAAGGAAAAAAGTGATAAAGTACAGGTAGTCCTCGACTTACAACAGTTCGCTTAGTGACTGTTCGAAGTTACAATGGCACTGAAAAAAGTGCCCCCCAAGCCACAGCCGAGCAAGACACACCTGCCTGCCCACCCGGCCGCGCTCTTCCTCCTGTCCAAGGTTTTCATTGTTGTGAGCATTTCTGTTGAGGATTGGCAGCGGGGGTGGGGTGGGGGGGTGTTTGGTTTTTATTCCCCCCTTCTGCTGGGTGGTTGCAGCAGGTTTTGGTCCCTTCACATGACCCTGGGACACTGTGACCGTCATAATTATGAATCAGTGGCCAAGCATCTGAATGTAAATCACAAGACCCTGGAGATGCTGCAACATTCCAGCTGATCGGCGCTTCTTCTGGGCTCAGCAGAAGCACCAGGATCAGCGCCGAGCTCCAGCTGGAGCCTGGCGCTGATCCTGGCGCTTCCACTGAGCCCTGACAGCCGCAAAGAAGCGCCGATCAGCTGGAAAGCGGCACTGATCCTGGCGCTTCCGCTGAGCCCTGACAGCCCTGCAGCTCCAGCCATCTCTCGCTCAGGCTTGTGCGGTGCTGCCACCGGTTCAGCTCATTCCCTTCCCCCGCTACCACTTTTCTAGGATGGTCGTGTACCATCTGCCAGGTGCCAATGTACCACAGGTGGTACCCGTACCACTGGTTGAAAAGCCCTGACCTGGATGACTGAGAATCTCTATAGACATCCCAGTCAAAAGGTTGTCTGGTCCAAATTTTTAAACGTGGGAGGGAGTCCTCAGTGCAAAAAAAATTAAGAAACCCTGGAATAAGGGCATTTAGAAACGGGATCCTGAGAAAGTGATGTGTTTTTTTTATCATTTCTGCAGGCTGAGCTCACATTTTGTACTGGAGACATTATTACTGTCTTTGGAGAAATTGACGAAGATGGTTTTTATTATGTAAGTGCTTTATCTATGCTCCTCCCCTGATCTGTATTAATGGGGTGCAAAAACCTTTTGGGTGACAACCAGGAACCTGGAGGAAGGGTGTCCCTCAAGAAGGATGGTGAGTCAAGAATGATCTTTAGGTTTTTTTTCTTGACTCCCATAATCTAGTGTCCTTCAACTCTTGGTCATGGGGATAAGAATCTGCTTTAGCTTTCAACGTCTTCCAATGTCTACCTTGCCATAACTTGAATCAATGCATTGGGGAGACTTCTGAAGCAGCATTTGAGAACCTGAAGATAGGTGGACCTCAAAAGTCCCCAGCCAGCCAGGAGTTGAAATCCACCATTCTGGAAGTCCACCTATTTTGAAGTCACCACGGTTGAGAAATGTTGTTCTAAAGGCTCCTTGTTTGTTGACTCCCTTAAGCTAGTGTCCTTCAACTCTTGGTCATGGGGATAAGAATCTGCTTTAGCTTTCAACGTCTTCCAATGTCTACCTTGCCATAACTTGAATCAATGCATTGGGGGGACTTCTAAAGCAGCGTTTGAGAACCTGAAGATAGGTGGACCTCAACTCCCAGAAGTCCCCAGCCAGCCAGGAGTTGAAATCCACCATTCTGGAAGTCCACCTATTTTGAGGTCACCACGGTTGAGAAATGTTGTTCTAAAGCAGGGGTAGTCAACCTTGGCTCTTTTATGACTCGTGGACTTCAACTCCCAGAATTCCTGAGCCAGCTAAGCTTAGCTGGCTCAGGAATTCTGGGAGTTGAAGTCCACGAGTCATAAAAGAGCCAAGGTTGACGACCCCTGTTCTAAAGGCTCCTTGTTTGTTCATTAATTTCCCCTTCCATTTCCACGTTTCAGGGGGAACTTAACAACCAGATGGGTCTTGTTCCTTCGAATTTTCTTGAAGAAGTGCCTGATGACGTAGAAGTTTATTTATCCGACGCTCCCTCGCGATACCCTCAAGACGCACCCATTCGTACAAAAGCGAAAAGGGTAAGCAAGTATTGAGAAACAATAATAATAATAATAATAAAAAACAAGTGTTGTTTTCGCTTTGTTCCCCTTGCCAACCATTTCAGATTCCGTTTGGCTTGATGTGTTTGTGTACATATGTATATGTATATATAGATATATATATATTAAGAAACACATTTTTGAAACCAAGTTTTTAGATCGCTCTGAAGCTGGGAGAGAAAAAAAAAACAGCTCCTTGCTTTAAATCAACTTGTTCCTTCCATCAATGATCACTCTCATGCTAATTTAGGAGCCACAGATTTTTTTTTATATTTATATATATATATATATATATATATATATCCGTTCCCCACCTTGAACAGTTTATATCTGTAAATTATAGACCTGCTGTAGAAATTATCTAAGACTGTAAACTTGGGGATGGATGTAAAACTTCAGACTCTTTTCTTTCTTTCTCTTTCTTTCTTTCTTTTTCTTTCTTTCTTTCTTTCTTTCTTTCTTTCTCTTTCTTTCTTTCTTTCTTTCTTCTTCCTTCCTTCCTTCCTTCCTTCCTTCCTTCCTTCTTTCTTTCTTTCTTTCTTTCTTTCTTTCTTTCTTTCTTTCTTTCTTTCTTTCTTTCTTTCTTTCTTTCTTTCTTTCTTTCTTTCTTTTTGGAACATCGCCCCAAAACTTTGAAATTTCAAAGTGATGTTTTAAGCTGCTTAACGGTGCTCCCTTCTGAAGGGGTTCGTGGGTCTTCTCTCATCCTTGCAATTTTTTCTCTGTTATATTTTATGTATACGGTTTTTTTTTTAATTTTATTTTTATTTTTGCTCATCTGCTTGGGAAACAGAAGAAGAGTGTTCATTTCACACCTTAAAAATGGGCAACGTTGCCTTCACGTAAGTGAGCAACTGGAGATACCAGCAGACACGCCTATTTCCTCTAAGTTGGCCTTCTGTAACGCGAGCCATCTTGGGCCCATGACGTGTGCAGAAAAAAGAAAAAAAAGAGAAATATGTCTCCAAAATTCCTTAGCCCTGGGTTCCAGATCTTCTTTTGGGGGACTGCCCTTTCCCAATCTGATGCCTTCCAGCTATGGTGGACTACAAGTCCCATCACCTCCAGGTGACCAGCCGTCGGACTGCTAGTCCGGCGGCCACAGAAGGCGCTGAGTTAGGAAAGGAGAATTTCTGATTTAAAAAAGGAAACGCGGAACGCGCTTTGCGTTCAAGGACTTAGGCTTGCGTTCAAGGGCTTAGGCTCCCACACAGGGAGAAAACATTTTAATATTTGGAACAGATTTCTTACCGGCCTTAATGCTTGTTTGCATAGTGTTCCCAGTGGTCTGGTTCCCAAGAAAAGCTGCATATTGCATTGTTAGCTAATTTGGGAGAACAAAAAGAAAAAGAAAAGAAAAAGAAAAATAAACACAAAATTGCTGCTGAGCAAAGCCGGTTGTGCTCAACAACCCGGCCGGCCTTTGGGAAGAGAGGACTTGAATTCCTTCTTTTGAAAGCATGCTAAGCTGCAATATCTGGTTGTCAGCTTGCCTTAAAAGCACCTCTCCTGGTGCGCGGTTGTCCATGGCCGAGTTTTTGCATCCCTTATGGACGTGTAGGCTCCTCTGCCCAGCAGCTCATGGGTTGACCAATGCAATAAGCTGAAAGGAACGCGCGCCGCTCAGATCGGTGGGCCAATGCATTAGTGCTCCAGAGATGGTATCTTCAGGTGTATGTTGAAATCGCACTGAGAAAAGGGTCCCTTTTGGCTTCTCCCCCCCTCCCCTCCATTAGACAAGACCTTGATCGAAGATCAAAGCAAGCTTGGGACCTCCTTGGCTTAACAAGCCCACTGAGATGTCCAAACAGCCAGGCAGGTGTTAACAGGAGGGAGGTTGGGTGTTGTTAGGAGCTCCATTTTGGATTTTTCCAGTTGGAGAAGACATTTTTCCAAGGGGTGTCATCCTGTTCCACGCCATTGAGCGTGTGTGGCACGTGCCACCCAACCCAGATACGTTCAACCAAAGGTCTCAGAGCTTTCTTTGATTGTGATTAAGGTTCATTTTAATTTGGTTTGGTGTTTTTTTTTCCCCCTTTCCACCAGTGTGCCATCTTCTCAAAATATGTCCTGACAGAATGCTAAAAGTTGGCGAGGGTGGTGGGGTGGTGGATGGATTTAGAAGCCTGGAGGAAAGCAAGAATTGAGCTAGTCCGACACAGATTCTTCCCAGAAATGGGTGAGTCCACGTAGACATATGCCACGTGGGAGTCCCCAACTCCCTCTTCCTCAGGATCCCTCCTGAGAAGAAAGGGGATCCGGGCAAAATCCAGATCCCTCTTTAAAACAAGTCATTTTTTTTCAGAGACTGGTCTACTAAAAGAGGCGGAAGGCTTCAGCTATCTATGCCATGATTTTAACATAAATCAAGTCCATAAATCCATTTACACACGTCTTTGAACGTACTCCGGGAAACGGATGGGTCTGTCACGTGGCATACGTTAAAAAAAAAAGAGGGAAGAAGAAAAAGAATTCCTGCCCCTAAAAGGTGTGTGTGTGTTTGTGTGTGTGTGTGTGTTTAATGCAGCGTTTGTCAACTTTGGCCATTTTAAGATGGATGGACTTCAACTCCCAGAATTCTCCGGCCAGCCGTGATCAAGACTGAGTGCTCTAGATCAGGGGTCCCCAACCCCCCGGTCTGTGGACCGGTACCGGGCCGCAGCACGCCAGCAACCGGTCCGCACAAACAAGCAAAGCCCCATCTGTGGGATGCAGGCAGCACACAAAACCACGCACCGTCCAATCCGTGGAAAAATCTCTCCATGGAACCGGTCCCTGGTGCCCAAAAGGTTGGGGACCTCTAGTATAGGGCAGGAGGTCCCCAACCCCCAGTCCGTGGACCAGTACCGGGCCGCGGCACGCCAGCAACCGGGGCACACAAACAAGCAAAGCCCCAAGCATGAGATGCAGGCAGCACACAAAACCACGCGCCGTCCGGTCCACGGAAAAACCTCTCTCCACGGAACCGGTCCCCGGTGCCCCCAAAGGTTGGGGACCTCTGCTCTAGATCGGTGTCGGCTGGAGAACTCTGGGAGTTGAAGTCCCCCCCTCCCCTGCCCCATCTTCAACAGGCCAAGGATTGAGAAACCCTGGTTTAACGAATGAAAAAGCCAACGCTGCTTTCTTATTGTCCATGACCACAGCCCTTCAGTAAACTTAACAATATACCTATCAGGTTCCTCCTGAGAACACAGGTACGCCACCAAGGAGAGCACCAAGCCCCACAGCCCATCTCCCATCGGGGTCACCTCTGCCAACTATGGGTTCTGGTAGCCCCAGGCGAGGCAGGGAGGTCTCTTCGACCAAGGCGAAGGGTCTCATTTCCAAAGGGAAGAAACTTCTCAAAAGACTGGGTGCCGTGAAATGAGAAATTACAGCCATCTGGACATCCTCTAAAAATCATCAGACTTTAAAAAAAAAAACAAAAAAACAACCACCCATATGCAGACCGATCTAGAAACGCCCCAAACTAGGGACTATTTCAGGACTATTTCGAGCGGATTTTTCTAGACACAGAGCTTGCACGCCGCGCAGCCCCTTTCCTCCCCCCTCTTTTTTTAATTTTATTATTATTATTAAGCGCATTCTGTTGTCTCCAGAAACGTCTCTGTCTGGATTGGTCTGGCTTCAAGGCGTGGCAGTGCTGCTAAAAAAAAAAAAAAGGCATTATTTTTTTTTTGCGCTAACTTGTTTTCTCAAACAACAAAAAAAAAAAATTAAAGAGAGGAGAAGATGGGATTAAGGAACGTAAACCTGCACCAATCCTAAGGGACTTTGTTTCCTATTTCCATTTTTTTTTCCTTTTTCCTATTCCTAAATTCCTATTTCCACTTTTCCCTGAAAGTGGAAAAAAAGCAAACAAACCTAAAAACAATTTTTTTTAAAAAATCTCCTTGTTCTTTGATCCCCGTGTTCATTCTCCACGTGACGCGTACATAGTCTTGAAACTCCCTAATTTGCCAGAAGCCTTGATGTTTGCCTTATAAATGCACAATTATTTGTACTGTCTGAACTCTGCAGCTGTGTACTTTGTGTTGACCTATTACGGTTCCATTCTCACCGAGACGCCCATCCTTTTTAAAAGGCCACGATGGAGTCCGTTTCGTGTCCGGTATTAATTCCTGGGGAAGTGTGAAAAATGTCGTGCAAAAGGTTGTTATTATTTTTTTTCCCCAACCGTCTGCGTAAGTTCTGCTGTTCGGCTTCTCAAGTACGCTACAAAAATAAAAAAAATAAATAAAAATTAAAGCAAAACCAATTACGGCAAACCAACAAGCGTTGCAAAAAAAACACACACACAAAAAGCAGATTTAAGGTGGGCGTTGCTTGGGGTTCCCATATTGTTGAGCGCAGAAGGAAATAACAACACAAAAACGTTGTATTATTCCTGGGCCACTGCCAGCAAAGTCTCTCAAATCAGAAAGGTTGAATTTTGTCACGGATGACCCCTTGTTGTGACTGGAGACAAAAGGCAGGAGTCGCACAACCACTGCGTACTTGCTGGGGCGGGTGGGAAAAAAGAGATTATTTGGCTGTTGGAAGACTTTTGTAACCATTTGTATATTCTTTTTACTGTTTATACATACTTTTCAGACTGCCTTTGTTTTATAATTGATGGAAGGTTTGTAATATAAATGATCAAAGCTTTTCCCCATTGTGTCTTCAAAGAAACGTGTACATTCTTGTAAAATAATATATAGTGTGCTAGATTTATGTAAAGGAAAACAAAAATGGCCTAAACTCGTGGTAAAAGTATTGTGTGGGCGTGTGCATGTGTACAGTTGTTAATGTGTAAATTATTTTATATAAATAAATTTGATATTTTGTAGAAGGGTGTGGGCTCCTGAATGAACCAATTAGCCACATACGAGCAAATTCAGGCATGTTGGCTAAATGTGGTTTAACCAGTAGCAGAGAACACAGAAGTGTGATTGATTCGCCACAGCCAAAATCTCGGTTTACAGTCTATGAAACTAGGTTGAATCTTAGCCTACTTACACGTGAATCCAGTTGTTATAGTGAGGATTTTAAAACACCTGGTTAAGTTTGTATGTCTTTGAATCTTCTTAATTGAGCTAAAAGGAACAAATGTTTCGCAAACAGCGAATACAGGGAGAGTCCTCAGCTTATGGTCGCCAAGTGGAAAATTTGTTAAGGGGGTCTGGCTCCATTTTAACGACCTTCCTTGTCACCGTTCTTAAGCGAATCCCTGCGGTTGTTAAATTAGTAACCCGGTTAAATGAATCTGGCTTCCCCATCGACTTTGCTTGTTGGAAGGTTGCAAAAGGGGATCACGTGACACCCCGGGACACGGTCATAAATGTGAGTCAGTTGCCGAGCGTCCGAATTTAAATCAGGTGACCCTGGAGCAGTCTGCAGTGGTCGTAAGTGTGGAAAAACGGTCGTACGTCACTTTTTTCAGTGCCGCTGTCATTTCGAACAGCCACTAAGCAAGTGATGGCGAACCTTTTAGATACCGAGTGCCCAAAAACTGCCCTGCCCCACCCCACTCCTGTCCCTACCCCCCGCAGGGCCACCCACCACCTCCAGGGCCCGCCACAGATCGCCATGGCGGCCCAGTAGCACCATGGCGGCCACGTCCTCCACCCGTGCCCCGCAGCATCATGTTTGTGACGGGGGTGCAAGGGCGGAGTCTTGTCCCCACTGCCATGTCCTTGGCTGCGCTGCTCCAGGCGGGCCGTGCCTGGGGCCAACTCTCCTCTGGGGGGGCTGGTGTGGAGGGGGCTATGGGGGAGGCAGGGCTGGGGCGACAGCATGTGTGCCCGCAGAGAGGGCTCCGAGTGCCGCCTCTGGCACCCGTGCCATAGGTTTGCCACCA